ATAAAGAAGGTTAGGAACTAAGGCCCAAAGAGGATAACACTTACAGGTCTGAAGGAGAAAGATCCAACATAGAAGAATGAGAAGGAGCAGCAGTAAGACAAGAGAAGAAAACGTCTCCAAAAAGAGAAATAAGTCAACTATGTTGAATGTTGCTGAAAATTTAAGTGTTCATTACATTTGTCAATATGGATATCTTGACAAGAACAGTTTCAGTGGAGTAATGTGAGTAAAACCCAGGTTCCAAAAGACAAAGGGGGCAAATAGGAAGTGGTAAAGGAAACGCAGACAACTCCTCTTTTTTTGCTGAGATGGGGAGCAGACAGGAGATGGAAAGGGAAAATTGGTTTTCTTTTGTTTAAAATGGGAGATATTAGAGAATTTTGTATGCAACCAAAACAATCTAATAGAGATGGTGAAAATAAGCATCTACTATGTTCCAGGTGCTAGGAATACAATATAAACAGGAAGGGTACAGGCCCTGTCCTTAAGAAACTAAGTAACAAAAAAGTATTACAGATTGTGATAAGTTCTGTTAGGTAATCAAACTTTTCCTTCACATATAAATTGGCTTGAAATTCTCATCTAGAATTATTATAAGTGCACAAAACTATGACAAAGATTATTTTAACAAATATTTTTCAAACATTTAATATGCTTAATATGTGTCCGTGCTAGAATCCAGAAATACAATAAAGAAGAAGTCATAGTTTCTGCATTCAAGGACCTTACAGTCTAAGGAGAAAAAGCAATCGACAGGTTGGGTACAATGGCTCATGCCTGTAATCTCAGCACTTTGGGAGGCCGAGGCAGGTGAATCACTTGAGATCAGGAGTTCAAGACCAGCCTGGCCAACATGACAAAACCATTGTATGTACTAAAAATACAAAAATTAGCCGGGCATGATGGTGCACACCTGTAGCCCCTGCTACTCAGGAGGCTGAGGCAAGAGAATCACTTGAACCCAGGAGGCGAAGGTTGCAGTGAGCCAACGTTGCGCCAGTGCCTCCAGCCTGGGTGACAAAGAGCAAGGCTCTGTAACAAAAAAAAGTAAAAATAAAAATAAAAAATTGATGGGCAATTATAGTACATTGTGATAAATGCTATGATGTGGGAAACTCTAGAAAGATTTTGACTGAGTGCATTAGTCAGGATGTTCTATGTTGCACATGATAGAAAACTCAAACAAAACTAACATAAGCAAAGAATGAAACTGATGAGCACTCATAACTGGATCTAATGTAGATGAACAGTTCAGGCACAGCTTTAACCAAGGACTGCAACAATAGTGTTGAGAATTCAATTTGTTCTTCCCATCTCTAATTTCTCTGTACAGACTCTATTCCCAGGTAGTGTCTCCAATTGTGGACATAAGCTGGCCCCCAGCAGCTTCCATGATATATCCTTTCAGATAAAAGTGCAGGAGAAAAAGGAAAGTGTGTCCCAGCATTCCAAGCAGAAAAGCTCTGATATTTAATCCCAATAAGATCATTATAGGCCTTGGACCTATCCCCAAACCAATTACTGTGCCAGAGTTGAGAAGGCTAATGTGAATTGGCTTATGCCATTAAAGGCCTACCCCTGGAACTATCGTGGGATCAATCTCACCTAAACCATATGGCTTAGAAATTTAAAATCTACTTAGGGTAAAGTTAGAAGGGCAATGGATAGATGCAGGGAAAGTCACCACAAATGCCCACAACCAATATCCATAACAGAGACAAAAACATGGGGTCAACTGCACAGAGATGGTAACTAAAGCTGTGAGTAGATGACATCACCTAATTTAAGTGTGTTGCATGAAAAGAGGCCCCAGAACAGAACCCTAGGAAACACCAAAACTCAAAGATTGGGCAGAGGAAGAGAAGCCTTTGGAAGAAATTGAAAAGAGTGAGCTAAGATGAGATGAAAGCCTGGAGGATATGTTTCAGAGAAGTCATTCTTTTCTGGAGGCGTTTAGGAAGAAAGTACTAGTCTGCAACATCATTAGCTAGAAGAAGTTGGGTAAGATGAGAACTGAAAAATATCCCTTAGATTAGCATTGAGGAGGTTGCTGGGAGCCTTAAGGGGAACAATGTCAGTGGAGAAACAAAGCTGAGGCCAAATTATGTGTGTTTGGGTGTATTTAGGGAGGGTAAAAGGTGAGAGGTCTGTGAGAAAGTAGAAAGCACACTCTTTAGGAAACGTGAATGCAAACAGATGAGGAATGATGGGTTAGCTAGAAGAACATATGGAGTCAAGGTAGGATTTAACATGTAAGATGATGAAACATTTTTAAATTCAAGTTAAAAAATAAGAGTAGAGCAGGAGAGGTTGAAGATAACTTTTTGGGCATCATACCCTTTCTATAAACACGTATGCTATATATAACATAAAGAGGATATTCATAACTGAACAAGCCATGATGAATGATATCTTGGAGAGGTGGAAAAAAAAAACCATTCTAGTTAAAAATTTTAAAATGGAAATGACATCACCTTTCAGGTTTTTGTTTTGTATTGTTTTGTTTTGTTTTGTTTCTGAGATAGAGTCTCGCTCTGTCACCCAGGCAGGAGTGCAGTGGCACGATCATTGCTCACTACAACTTCTGCCTCCTGGGCTCAAGCAATTCTCCCACTTCAGACACCTGAGTAGTTGAGACTACAGGCACGTGCCACCACACCCAGCAAAGTTTTGTACTTTTTTTGTAGAGACAGAGTGTCCCTACGTTGCCCAGCCTAGTCTCAAACTCCTGGGCTCAAGCGATCTGTTTGCTTCAGCCTCCCAAAGCGCTGGGATTATATAGGCATGAGCCACTATGCCCAGCTCTTTCATGTACTTTTAACTGAATTTTTTAACTGAACAAAAACCTGAGATTTGTTTTTAATGAGATAAAATTTTAAGATATAATTTAAAATGATTAAAAATAAAGTTCAGTTACATGCTGAAGTAAAAGGGTTGGTTTTTTTTAGATAGCAGTCTGTGTTGAAAATGGATGAAAACTATGAGCTCCTCATCCCAGAAAGAGATGACTTTTTTCATGTTCTTCCAGGGAGATTCAATGAAAGACCTCTTAGGCCTGCAACAGATGCAAGATTAAGCATACAGTCTTTTCCAGGGACTTACCAATAGGATTCTTCTTTGGACTTCTCATGTTACCAGCCAGCAGGCTCCTTCTGCTTTCCTTCCTCTTAATCATAATTGAAGCTGTTGTGTCCTCACTCCTAAGTCTTGAATACCAACACCAATTCCAATTCCTTACCCTCTCCCACCTTTCCTTGTACTCCAGTCTATAATACAAAAATATTGGCCGGGCAATGGTGACTCACGCCCGTAATCCCAGCACTTTGGGAGGCTGAGGCGGGCGGATTATGAGATTAAGAGATCGAGACCATCCTGGCCAATATGGTGAAACCCTGTCTCTACTAAAATACAAAAATTAGCTGGGCATGGTGGCACATGCCTGTAGTCCCAGCTACTCGGGAGGCTGAGGCAGGAGAATTGCTTGAACCTGGGAGGCAGAGATTGAAGCGAGCTGAGATAGTGCCACCGCACTCCAGCCTGGCGCCTGGCGACAAAGCAAGACCCTGTTTAAAAAAAATAAATAAAAAAAATTGACTATGCCTTTTCTGGGGAGAAGAAAAAAATATATTATACTCAAATGTTACTGCCTCATATCTTGGCTCCACCACTTCCTAAATTACATAACCCTGGCCAAATACTTACCTCTCTGGGCTCCCTATATTTTCTTCATCAGCAATATGAAACTATCAAATGTTTATTTCTACCAACCCCACCAGGCCCAATCTAAGAATCAAGTATCATTCTTTCTCATAGGAACCTACCACCTGATAAGAAACCAGCAAATAATTCATTCTCATTCTCTCCCATCCCACCTGAATTATAAACTGCTTGAAGGCAGAGAACAGGGCTTCTATTTCATTCCTTACTTCCCCACTGCTTATCACATTTCTTCTTTTAAACTCACCACAAGAGTTGCTGACTTAGTTGAGTATTAATTTAGAATACAGGTCTAAATTTTATGCTAGCCTCCATTGTTAACTGTCTCATCTATGTTTCTTCACAACTTTTCCATATTTCACCTTCAGATGAAATCACAAAATCACAAATAGCTTTGTTAGTGGCTTAAAGCCTAGTCAAATCATTACAAGGATATCTTCATAGGGATGCCTTGTTAAAAATGAGTACTATACAGGTATTTAACTATAAATTAACTCATAGATGTTATAATTTTTCTTAATCCTGAAGTTTTTAAAATTTGATTCTTAGGAATATATATTAGTAAAGCCCTTTAGCATCAAGGACTAATCAAGTTAAAATCTCTCCAAGTTACACAACTGGACTCTGTTCACTGTACAGGATTACTGCTTTTAAAGAAGGGCATTGTTGAAATACTGCAAGTTATATTACCAAATTTTTAAAAATCCTACAGATAGTATTAGCTAAAGAAGGTTTTTTGGGGATAAGGTAATATATTAAATAATATGGGACTGATTATACATATTATACATTCCCTGCTTCAGCAAACCTTGAGTATAGAGTTTCTTTCAGTCAGACCTGAAATTAGGTCTCTAACTCATGTGGTTTCAATTAAGTTCCGTTAAAAATAGCTCGTAATATAAGCATTTGCATTTTTAGCACTTCAGTAACTTCACTACCTTTTAGTGTTTTTTGTTTGTTTGTTTTTGTTTTTTTCTACATTGCTTTAGAGAAAGATTTACTACTTTTAATCATACTAACAATAAACTTTGAAGAAAAAAAAAAACATCAAAGGAAGTTACATTGTACCCTGGCATTGGCTTTCTTTTTCTTTCTGAGAACTCTCAGGGATGAAGCCTCCTTATGAATAGCTAAAACCATCTATTTTAGTGTACAGTCTTCTAATACTAGTGATTTGGTTCTTTATCTTATAATATAAATACATACATTTAAGAAGCATATGAATGTTTTTTTCTTAACTGATTAAAAGTAAATGACAAGAACCTCAACTGAATTTCAACACAGAGATATATCACAAATAACTAGAGAATTTTTAATATCATAAAATTTCAGGCAGACATTCTGCTTTACAGACTTTGACTTCACATTCCTATCTTCAAAGTAGTGAAAATTCAGCCACAGCTGTTTTTTCAAGCCATTTTTATTATGATATCTGGAGGAAAAAACCAAAACAATAGATTACTTCACATACAAGCAGTTGTCCAATAGTTATTAATAACCAGCCCACAGGGAGAGAGCACTTGATGCCCAGGCCACTCTAGTTTCACCCTATCAAGCCTTAGGAAACAAATCCAGACGCCATTAAAAAAAAGAAAGGAAAAAAAAGGAATATTTGACTCATCCCTCCTAGGGCATGCTGAGGACATGTTCTCTTTGGAGAAACAAGGAGATCTGCTCAATAACATTCTGGTGGAAAGCCCAGGAAAAATCACTGTTAGTGGCCATCACAGGGTCTTTAACCCCAGCGTTGTAACCTGGAGCACCTGATCCAGTTGTGCTTTTCATCCCTGTCCTCAGTCGCCACCCAGGAAGAAGCCTCTTATATTCTCTCACCTACCCTTCCTTTGCGTTTTCCTGCTCTTTGTTGCAGTTGAACCCAGGTTCCGTCCCAAAGACAGGATTGATTCTGGGGCCTTTGCCCCCACATCTTGGGCCAAGAGATCAAGAGTGGAACCAGCTTTACCTAGTTAGCATTGTTACTTTCATGCTATGATATACCTCATCCTGTGGCCTGATCAGCCTATCTCAATGGCTCTGAAATTTTGTTGCATCTAAAACTACCTAGGATTTTAAAATCCTGATATCTAGGCCATCCTCCATACCAATTAGATCAGGGACCCAAATATCAGACAACAGGAAAGTATGATGTGCAGCTAAGGTGAGAACCAGAAACCTGTATCTTTGCTATTCAAAGTGGGGTCTACGGACCAGTTATGTCAGCATCACCTAAAAGGTTGTGAGAAATGTAGAATCCTCGGTCCCATTCTAAATGTACTGAATCAAAGTCTCCATTTTAACAAGATCCTCAAGCAATTCAAAAGCACATTAAACTTTTGGAAGTGCTGGCTATATTACACTATTCTCTGCTCCTCCCTGTTTCTTGACCTCAGACACTGCTCATTCATTAAAGACTTTGGAAACTGGTTCACAGTCATCCTCTCCACATGAACTTCTGGGTAACTTCCCAAGTGGGTAATCAGCCAACCCAACTATCTTGTCTCACCTACCCTTTACCTTCTCAGTCTTGAAATACACATCAAAGACCATGAGCTATATTTTCCTTCATCATCACCTACAGTGCATCATTTCTGACACTTTACAATACTAGAGACCCACAAGTCATCTCTAACTACCATTCTTTCTTACTACTCTGCACCAGTACCTATGTTAGTCACTAAGCTCTGTCAATTATACTAATAAAATTTTTTTAGTTTAGACTGGTTCTCCTAAATCCTACAGAAATCCTAAATCAGATCCCTGAGGCAATGACCTGGGAATGTGCATCATTTATAAATTCATCTGGTGGTCTGAGTACCACATTTTGAGATACACTAGCTCAGATACTTATTTTTTCAACTTTGTTCACTGGCTTTTGCAAAACTCCCACTTAGCCTTTTTGCTTCTAGGGTAATTTCTTCTCAAATCACCCCTATACTTCTTGTGAGAATGAGCAAATAAAAAGTAAATTTGGGCCAGGTGTGATGGTTCATGCTTGTAATCCCAGCACTCTGGGAGGCCAAGGTGAGCAGATCGTTTGAGCCCCAGAGTACAAGACCAGCCTGGGCATCATGGTGAAACCCCATGTCTACAAAATATATAAAAATTAGGTGGGCATAGTAGCACTTGCCTGTAGTACCAGCTGCTTGGCAGGCTGAGACGGAGAAGAATCACTGGAGCCTGGAAGGTAGAGGCTGCAGTGAGCTATGATCACACCACTGCATTCCAGTGTGGGCAACAGAGCAAGACTCTGTCCCAAACAAACAAACAAAAACACATATATACCTCCATTGGACTTGTTTTATATATTTGACTTCCTCTATAAAACTATAAACTTTATGAAGATAACTATGTCTCAATATCACCAGCAAATATTTCTAGCATATGACATCCAGACTCAATAAATATTTGCTGAATGAGTGAACTAAACAACTAAAGAACCTCATCTTTTCCATCTATAACCACGATACTAAAACAAAAGACTTAAATGGCCTCCATGATGTCAAACTAGCTTGATTTCTTTATCCCCAAGGCACTTGCTGGCATATTTCATCTCTGTATTTTCACTAGAGCAATGGTTCTGTGTCAGACTATACACATTTACCTGATACATTGTTTACATGAGATGGTATAACCAAATTTATAATTAACCAGTCAGCATATTTTAGGCTTTTTGCAATTTTCTTAAAAACCAAAGAACAATTTCCAAAAGGGAGACAAAGAAAGCTAAGCTTGAGAAACTAACCTAACCTATAGAAAGAAATAATAATCATTGTATAATGAGTGATTTTTATATGTCACACACTTTACAAAGATTATCTCAAGTCCTCACAACAATTCTTTGAGGTAAGAACTACTATTTTACTAATTTTACAGATAGGAGGCTAAAATTCAGAAAGTCTAAGGAATTTGCTTATATGACAGCTAGAATTTGAACTTATTGATGTCCTATTCTTCTTTTTTTTTTTTTTTTTTTTTTTTTTTTTTTTTTTTTTTTTTTTTTTTTTTTTTTTTTTTTNAGATGGAGTTTCACTGTTGTTGCCCAGGATGGAATGCAATGGTGTGATCTCGGCTCACTGCAACCTCCACCTTCTGGGTTCAAGCCATTCTCCTGTCTCAGCCTCCCGAGTAGCTGGGATTACAGGCATCTGCCACCATGTCCAGCTAATTTTGTATTTTTTACTACAGACGGGGTTTCTCTCTGTTGGTCAGGCTGGTCTCGAACTCTTAGCCTCAGGTGATCTGCCCACCTCAGCCTCCCAAAGTGCTGGGATTACAGGCGTGAGCAACTGCACCTGGCCGGATGTCCTATTCCTAAGTGATTTCTACTACCATCTTTCAGATACTCAAATTAATATGTTTCTACTTCATTTGTCACATATCTATGTGATACTTCTGCGTGCTATTATGATCTAGAAAATCAAACTTCTCACTAAAGATAACATATGCATCTAGTTAAAGACTGTGATTCTACAGTACTAGCCTGAGATATGAATTCATAACACATAATTTATCATCTCTTCTGGAGCTCAAAATGAAATTAAAAATTTTAATGTTAATATAAGGATAGCTACAGGTTTTGTCTGATTTATCAAACAGTATTATTAGACTGGAAGTCTTCTCTAACACCTTAAAGTTCAAAGTGTCCTCTCTTGGGTTCCTACAGTGTCTTGTTCTAGTTCTGATTACGCAAGTAATAAGTTCTGTGAACTTGGGCAAGTCACTTAACCTGGCCAGGTCATTTTTGTTACATGTAAAATAGACTAATGAAATGGTTCTCAAATGTTTGTGTTTACTGGAATCACTTTCAAAATGCAGGTTCCTGTGCCATCGGTAGAGACTATAGTTTACCAAGTCAGCAGTTATTTTGGTGGAGGTGGTCAGAAGGACCACGTATTGAGAAACCTTAGACTAGATGTTTTCTACAGCCTCCTTTATCTGGCTGTCACTATTCTGACTACTTACCCACACCACCTCCTCTATCACATCTCTTTGGTTTCACTTTCACCATTGTTTTTTCTTTAATCAGCATAATGCCAGTTATTAATGAACAAAAAGCACACTGATCACAATCCTAGACTGAAATTCAAAAGTGAATTTCACCCTGTAGTCCTGATTAGAGTACTGCCAAAACAGCTAAAACTTTAAATGCCAAGACTAAAAATAGGCTGCTGCATGTTTAAAATAACATGATCACTAGTTAGCTTGGTGCTTTGCTATTTTTACTAAAGGAAAGAGACAAGTGGCCAGAGGTTGAAAGGGAAACAGGAGGCAGCTGTTATGGTAAGAGCCTAGAAAGAGGTCAGGAGATGGCACCATTAGTTCATTAGTTCAACAGTAATGGGGTGGGGAAGTGAGGGCAGTTATCTCTGTAAATTAAACTAAAAGTCTTCAGTCTGAACACTCAAAAGAACCACCAGATACATTTTGGTTTTGATTTGTTGCATACTTTAAGCCCAGAATTTTGACAATATCTAATATCAGAAACTAATATGACAGGCCAAAAATCAAATTAAGAGTATTTCTGGTGTTATTTGTAAAGTTTTGTTTTTTTTTTTTTTTTTTT